TTAATATGGTTAGCTAGACTAAGATCTGGAACTAACATTAAGATCAGAATAGTAGGCATAAGTAATGACTTAAACTGTACTTAAATGATGTATATAACTAATAATTAAAAAATGCCGTTCCAATATTCTACAGAATATTAATATAATATTATTATTTATATAATATAACAAATTTATTAATATTTAATTATATATTTTTAAAAAAATAATTACGCTTAGTTAACATAATAAATAATTTTTATAAAATTTATCGATTTTGTCGCGACATACGGACGATAATCATTAATATAATGAACAAAAATATAGTTAATGCCAAATATGCCATTTCCAAGTATAGAAACACTTCGGGGTGTTTCTCGATAAGTGGTCCGATTACAAAGGGTGAAACCAGATTAAACACAGTGGCTGTAATGCAGAATATCGAGGTGATTGTATTGTCTAATTTAGCACAATTCTCAGCCAATATCCAAAACGAGGTCCACATTGCACAAAATCCAAATCCTAATTAATTATCCGAATCAAATAATAATAATAATAATAATTAGATTAAAAAATTTTAAAATGTTTTTAAACTTATTTGACATTAGAAATATCTAATTTCTTGATTAATTTGATATATTCTATAAATTATTTACATTTATATAAAATATTTAACAATAGTGTTCATAACAATTTTTTTAAAAACACATGTGTTTATTTTTTATATATTATATAATAGTTATTAACTATAACTTATAGTAATATATAATACCTATGATTCCATTGGCCACCCAAATAGCAACCATGGAGGTTTTGCCAAATTGCATAATTAATATTGATATAAATATCAGGATGGTGTGATAGGTGATCATTATTTCCGGTCTCAATTTAAGCGATATATACGCGCATATTAATCGACCCACCGTATAAGTGGATGTCATCAAGGTCATTACATCGGCCGCTCGTTGGCTTGAAATATTGACCAGGGGCAAATAATGCAAATATGTGGGAAGTGAGCCCATGTGGACGCCCTCCAGTGCGTTGTATGAGGCGAGAGCGAGTGCTATTAGGGCAACGATAAATATTTTGTAACATTTACCCCGCTCTATTAATGCTAATGAATTGTTCCCGCTGTCTGTGGCCTGTGATAAATTAGCTTGGTGAGTTTTTTCATCCGATTTTATAGTTTCACTTTCTGGCTGTTTATATCGCCTGAATATAAACATCAATAGAAAAATAGTGGGCACTAAATGAGTAAAGAAAGTTCAAACATAATAATTTTAAAAATACATGTATTAATTAATTAGATTTAATTCAATTTAAATAAAAATACTATTAAATACCTATAAGAGTAGTGCCGCCGGCAATCATATACGGTATCACCAATTGTTGGCGTCTATACGTGTAATCAATGGGCGCTTCGGTAGTGACTGAGGCGAGTGTCGTGCCGTCCGTCGGCTCGGTATCGGTGCTAACGAAAGGTCGGGCCAATACGGGCGCCAGTATTGAGCCCAAGCCGTACATCATTTGGCCCAACATAAGCACCGACGGACTCTTACTGTCCCACATCTCGATCACCCAAACAGCGTTACTACTATCGAAACAACCTGAACCGATCGAACCCAAAAACATGCACAAAATTAGCAAGGTTACATTGGGACATAGAGGCGCCAGCAGGGTAAATACACCCAACATTGCTGTGGTAACAGTGATGGCCAGTTGCCGGTTGACCCACTTGTATGTGAACCCAACTGTACAACAGGATTAAAAATGAGAATTTGCAAATTGACCTAGTTTAAGATTGTTATAGTGTATTAATTAGTGTAACATACTAAATGACCCGGTCAAATAGCCTATATTTGTCCCTACGCCCACTAACGATATGCGCGCCATTGTAGTGTCAAACACGTGCATCATATCGATAGTTGTCGGTGCGAATATGACCGCGCACAAACCCTGGTTAAATAAAAGTGTTTATTATTTATTATATATTTTTAATTAAACATTACAAATTATATACTAGTTATTTATTATTAAATTGAAAATATTAATAATAAAATACTTACGAAATTAGCATAATATACAAGTATGCAAATAGTGTACACATATTTTTCCCAGCATTTAATCTTGGTGTTATTTGAATTATTGTTATCTCTAAACTTTTTGTTATTAATATCGTCGGTAATTTTCCGATTGTCAATCATCTCGGTATTAATAAAATTATTATTATTATTACGCAATAATTTAATTTGATATTATCAGGTGTACTTATTTTTTCATAATAGAATTTCTTTATTTAAAATATTAAATTAAAACATGTTTATATAGTAAACCAATTTTAATTTTTAATAATATTTTTAATTAATAAATATTTTTAAACAAATTAAAGTAAGATTTTAATCAATATTTAGCTAATTAAACCTTGTAACAAAACACTTAATAAGTTAGATTAGATACATATGTAATATTCAATATTAATTTAATAAGGGCTCACCAATACTGTATATTTACAAGATTGAGTTATTATAAATAAATATTAAATTTCATCTTGCAAAATTTAAAAACTAAAAGTTGCTGATTGTATAGGTTTTAAATATCCATTGGTAGAGGTAACATAAGTTTATAAAATCCAAATGACCAACGTACTTGTCTGTTTTTATACAATTTTAATTAACAATTAATAACAATATTACTTATTATCAATTACGTTTATTATCTTAAATTCTAACGGTAATAATTAGGTTGCACTGTACCATAAGTGCAATGAAGTACATGGTAAATGTTATGTTTGTGGCAAAATATTATCAGTTATCTATTGATTAAAATAAGGTATTTAAGTTATTTTGCATTATATAATCATAACAAGGTATTGCAAATATTTTTTAACTACAATGTATCGTCATCATTAGTTTATTAACTCTACTTATAATTTTGTTTTTCTAATAACACGTTGCACTTAATAAATTTTCATTATTAATCACATTACTTTAGCTAGGTGTTGGTTTTTAAATTAAAGATCAACATAGAATTATTTATTTTTATTTAAAAATTCAATTTTATGACTTATCATATTTATAAATTACTACAAATAAATTAATTTTTTATTTGAATAACAATTAGGTATAAATTTATACATTTATTATTCTAATAATGTGTTATTACATTTGTTAAAATTATAATATACCGTTATAAATGTAAATATAAATGATTTTTGTATTAATATTATTTAATTGTTTTGAATAAAATAAGGTAAAAGTAAAATATAGGTAATATAGTCCCAAAATTAATTACTCTTAATTTAATGTCTTTATTATTACACATTTTAAAGCAAAATTTACAGTATTTAAGGTAATTAATGTCCAAATGTCTACTTATGATATATTTGCTCAGCAATTATAATGTTATTAAAATAAAATTATTGCACATACTTTCAGTTATATAAATAATTTAATTGCCATTATTAAATGAATTTTATAAAATATTAAGCTTATTGTAAATTTTTATCCTGTGTTGTTATGATTAAACTGAATTCTATAATTATTATATTAACAATACAACAAAAAAGAATGCTGGTAAATAAAAGGCACATTATAATCAATATAATTTTAAATAAATGCCCTATTAAATTAAAATAAATAATCAGAATATTTATTCTTTAAATTGTATAATTTACTTATTATAACTAATTAAATAATGTTACATAATTATTTCAACAATCTATATAAAACGATGGTGGTCAGCATTTATCTAGTTTATTAACAGTGTAAACCTCGGGATATCTCTGCGATCTTTTAGCAATTATAAGCAATGCTATTAATAACAGGATTGTTATAACGAAGTAAACAAATTCGAGATCCAAAAACACATGTGGGTGGTCTTCAATGAGGGGTCCAATAATAAATGGGTTTATAAATGGTATGGTTGTAGATATAAATGCAAATATCGAGGTGATTTTGTCATTTAACTTGATGTATTTCTCACCAAAAGCAATATATGAGGGCCACATTGCGCTGTACCCGAAACCTGTTACATTAAATTAATATTAATTAAATAATTGACATGAACAATTTTTAACATATAAATATATAACAAACTAATTATAACATTATTTGAAAAACAAAGTTCTGTTCAAAATAAATATTTTAGCGTTGAAAAATATATTTAAAATATTATATGCTGCATGTAAAAACATTACTGTACTTAATTATAACTATGTAAAATACAAAAATACACTATTCAAAATATTTAAATTACTAAACAATGTATTTTACAGTAATTATAGCAAGTTCATTAACAGACACAATGCCATACCTATGAGTGCATTTCCGGCCCAAATGAAAGCTTTCGAGTGCTGACCGAACTGGAGAATAGCCATCGAAACACAGATAATAACCGAGTGATAGACTAACATAACTTCGGCGCTCAGTTTACTGGCTATAAAGGCCGATATGAGGCGACCCACGGTATAGGTGCTGGTCATCACTGACAGCACGTCCGCCGCCTCCTGTGCTGACAACCGGATCGGCAAATACTGATAATAAGTGGAGCTATTATTTAGAAAGCTCTGCTCCATAGCCGAGTACGAGTTCAAACTCATGCCAACCAGAATGATCAAGATAATTTTAGTGCGCCTGGCGGGCATCAGGATTGGCGATTTATCCGTGGTAATTTTCTGTACAGTCTTACCGGTTGGGTCGGCGACACGGCTGTCCACCCTTTCCCTAGTTTTAGGCACTTGGTATCGCTTTATCGCAAACATTATGATCCAAATTACAGGGACTTGTAAATAAAAAATAAAAAAATAATTAATTATTTTTATATAAACCACCTAGCTAACAAAAAGTTACCATACCTATGAGGGTAACGCCACCAGCGATCAAAAAGGGTACCTTAAGTCTCGGCCGACGGTCTATGGAGTAATTGATGGGATCGTCGTCGGGACAGACAAAGGGGGCGACAGTTGTGGTCAAGTGATGGGGCGGCGGGCGATGGGTGTGGGGGTGATGTTTGGGATGATGACGGTTAAAGTAATGTCTACCCAGACCGGTCACCTGTAGCGAGTAATCCACGGCATCGGTACAGTTGGACATATCGCCCAACAGGTAGTCCCTGGCTATAATCGGCGACAGTATATTACCAAGACCAAACATCATTTGGGCCAACTGTAGCACAGGTGGACTATTCTCCTTCCATAGCTCTATAGTCCATACGCTGTTACCGCTATCCCACGCACCGCCGCCTATGGATGCGATGAATACGCTGGCGTACAGCAGCCATATGTTGGTGCAGAACGGGGACAGTGCCGAGAATACGGCCAATATTATGGTTAATATGGTTAACGATAGTTGCCTATTGATGTACGAGTAGAGGAACCCGGCTGTACAATGAATTCTGAGGTTAGTTATATTTATTAGTTTATATTAAAAACTGTCAATTTATAAAAACATATTTTGTAGGTGTATTTGAGACATTTGTTTTAGTCATTAATGGGAAGACAATAAGTGCCCAACGACTTTTTTGTTTTATTTAATTAATTTATAGCTAGTATAATTCTTTAATTAAAAGATAGTAATTTAACTTATAGATGTAAAATTATTTTTAAAAAATCCATCCAATTTACCAATAACTCTCTCTCTCTCTCTCTCTCTCTCTCTCTCTCTATCTCTATCTCTATCTATCTTTCTCTCTCCCTTTCTTAAATATTTTAAACTTGATAAAAAATTTACCTAGGTCTTGGCTACTCGGCAATTTGGCCATCCTACTTTCAATTTGGCGAAGACTTTGTTGGCCTGACTGATAATATAGCGGCCGTATTTGTGGGCGTGTCGTCCATATGCCCAATGATAGTGCCCTTTGTATTCGGCCCTCTCGTTGAGTCCAATCCCGAAATATTTATTATATTAGAGTTTGCTTTCTATTGCATAACAGTTGTTGTGTTTGTTTTTCTATTATTGATATCATGTAGACTTAAAAAGTCGGATAAATAGATTTATGTTTTGTAAATATAATCTTTCATGTATTTTTCTCTGTAAATAAAGTTTTGATACACTTATCATGGTAATAAAATTTTTTTATAATAATTTGTTTTTCTATAGTTTTTTTTGTATTAATTGTTAGAGATTTGATTTATTGTGTTTTGCCAGGAAATTACTTGATGATAACAAATAGTGATAAAGTACTAAATGCTTAATTATTTAATAATTATTTACTAACTTACTTTTGTATTAAATAATTATAAACAACAATACTTTAATTAATAAATAATCAATTACTTAATTTATAATCTAATTATAAAATTAAGTTTAAAAATAATTTATTTATAAAGATTTTACAAATTATTACGAATAAATAATTAATGTTGAAAGTGTGGGCTCTAAACAACATCAAGTTTAAATCAAAATCATTGATAACTTATCATCATTAATAAGTTAGTTAACCATATAACATCACAATAAGTAGGGTTTTATCATTATTGATTAGATTAAGTTATTATTTGATGGGAAAATCAGTAGCACAAAAAAGCACTTGTGTTTTAGCTCAAGTGTTTTTGAATACAAATCTGGTTTTATTGATTAGACTTAAACAATAAAATCAATGCATTTGATTGACACTTATTGACATTAATAAAATATAAATTGTATGTAAGTAAATCTAATTAATTAAAAATTGTTGTATTGTAGTTTTGTATTAAACAACTTAAATTAATTTATATTAAATTTTATCATACTTAATATCTATGTAAAAAATTGTTTAATTAGTGTATTGTAACATACTTATAAAGCAAGATTAAATTACTTGACAAAGAGTACTTTTATACCGAGGGTAATGTATAAAAGGTTTGATTAGATTGATTATGGTACCTGATACTTTAATACCACAATGAAGTTCAGAGTGTGCATAAACTGGTACATTGATTGTGCATGGCGATTAAAATCAATTACCTTAATATAATAAAATTAATTTTTAAACCTAAATAATAACATTTTAAGTAAATTATTAATTGTTTAATTGAGAGTTAATAAATAATAAATTATTATAATTACTAATCTATATCCCAAATGGTATTTAATAAGTTTACTATTTTATAAAAATTATTTAATTACCCTAAAATCTTGTGCATTACCCGCACTCATGTATAACACGCACTTAAATTAAATTTACTTAAATTAAAGAAATAACTAGTCAAACCTACCCTGACCTAGCCTAAACTAACTCATTAACTTAATAGATAATAGTATTAACAATTTTAAGTAATTACTAAATTAAAATAATTGTTTTTGAACAAAATTCTTTCAAAAAAGTAACCCACCCATGAAAATTTTTCTAAAAATTTCACTTTTTTCCTTGTATAACCCGCGGGTAATGCACAAGATTTTAGGGTATGTTGAATAAATTAGCTATATAAATTAAATTTAAGTGTACAATATTTTTATTCTAACACCATTGTAATTGTTGAGCAAATATATCATATGTAGACATTTGAACATTAATTATCTTAAATACTGTAAATTTTACTATAAATTGTGTAATAATAAAGACATAAAATAAAGGTTGATTAATATCGGAGTACAGATGAAGCGAAATTAATTTTATTTTACTTAATACTTAATAATTAAATAATATTAATACAAAAATTCACATTATATTTACATTTATGACATTATATTATAATTTTAACAAACCTAATAACTTGGTAATATATAAAATCAAACTTGTTGAGATAACTTTCAAACTGATAACATCTAGGTCCCAGATGTTTTTTGTATAAAATATCTATAAATTTTATTTAACTATATTAGTTTATTAGCACACGTATTTTTAAGTTTGCATTTTATAGTTTCTGTAATTAATTAATTTAATCACATAATCAAAACTGACCATATATTAATTACAAGGGAGAATAATTAAGAAATAAGTTAATCAATTAAATCAATTGAATTATTACTTAATAAAACAAATTAATCCGCAATTAATTACCGAAACATCTTATCATAAAATATATTTATAAGTATTTTATAAGCTTTTAATTTATAGATAATGGCATTTCATAACCATATATACCCCGATCCTAATTTATTTCACGTGTATTCTTACATAATTAGTTTCAATGTTATAGTTTTAAATTTTATTATTAATTAAAAAATATATATCTAATAAACCAATGATAGTAAAATAGAAAACACTAATTAATATAATAAAATTAATTTTATAATTATATTTAAAAATTTAAATTTTATATTAATGTATAACCGGAGAGCGCGTCAATCCATATCGGGTTCGCTTACAAACACCGAGAAGTTATTCATTGAAAATCTTAAGAGCGATGAGAAGACTATAGACGAGAAGTTAGGGTCGGAGGACAAGAAAGCGCCCAACAAATGGTTCAGCAAATGGGATAAATATGTCTACACTATTTGCATACTAATTAATTATCTCAACTATGTAATTATATACATATATATTTTAATGTGTTTTTGTAATTAAATTATAGCTACATATTGGAATTTTAATATTGTTATATATTTCAATTTAGGGCCTATCGAGTAGTATGTTTTCACCCGCGATGGTCGATATGAAGTTCCTGTTCCACACGTCGATGGCATCCATTGTCTACACCAATACGTTCTTCAGCGCCGGCTATTTGGTTGGCTGTCTGTGTAAGTGATCAGCAATTTATGTTAGAGAGAGATAGATAGATAGATAGATAGATAGAGAGAGAGAGAGAGAGAGA